CAGGAGCGCAGTCCTTACCAGCTTTGCATATGTCATAGAGTCGATGACTTTCTTTATCACACGCAAAGGTAGATAATGTCGTGATGTATCTGCATGCACATTACCCATATTAGAGCAGAACCACACATTTCAACCTGATTAATCTGAGCAAGTATGTGAACAATGGACATATAAACCCTGAAACTTAATACATCATGGTGTAGGTAATTTGAAGCTCCTTGACAATTAGCAGGTCCAAGGAATTACTAAATAAAACCACCATTAAACCAACTCACCTATAAGCAATCCCCTATAAGAGAATCTTGGTTGATCAAAAATTGTCCATGGAACCATACCAACTTCTATTAGCCTAGTTTTGAAGTTAAAGCCGCAAAGCTGGCTGAATGTCTGCATTTGACACATAAATAGGTGGTCGGAAGTGGTTAGCTCACACACTTCTATAAGTTATCAGCCTTAATGTATGTAAAAAAGAAGCAAATAACCTGTAGTCCATGTAAAGCCCCATATACTGAGTTTGCCTGCATTCAAAAGGAAAATTAATCATCAGATAGTTCACAGAGGTATTGTTAGAAAATTTATTAGAGGAGATTACAGCAAAGTTGCTTATTTTAAGAGGTAATGCAGTTCCGTAATGCAGAAAACATTATTATAATAACTGAATACAAAGATGGAACGTTTTGCTGATGGAATGGGATAATGTTAGCCATAATTTGGCTCACCTCGATGCGAGCATAAGCAGGTTTCCCAGCAGCAGGAACAGTTAAGTTGTATGATTCATCAACCCCAGAGTGCAACTGCAAAACTAAAACATGTTTTTATGACAAACTTTTACATACACCAACCAATAGCATTCCAACCTCACACAAATCCCAATGAATAGTTTTAACTTTCACAATTTACCTCTTAAATACACAATATATATGTTACTAATTTACATGTTAAAACCACTCAGAAAGTCATCTAAGATGTGAGAAGAATGTTTCAACCTTTAAGGACATTTCATAGCAGAACAATGAACTCAGTTATCCTAGCCAATTAACACATTAGCATGAAAAACGCCTTCAATTGGTTGCAAGGATTCATAACACAAGTAGTAGCACACATTCATTTTTTCCACATAAAACTGTCACAAATTAGAACCTAAACAAGATATATATAGTATAAAAACCATCCAATAGCCTCAATTACAAGACATATACCCTGGTAAAGCAATAAGCAATGCATATCCAAATGTTCCTCAATACATAAGCTAAAACAAACTAACTCATACCTCATCATTTGGTGATTGAATAACCACATTGATCCCTTTAAGGAAAGCCGATTGGCCGAACCGCGAAAAATTGGCCTCAATGACATGATCCAAGGCAACAACATCCATAAATCTCGTAAACCCATCTTTCAAAATCCCTGATTTATCACCATACTTGCTCCCAACAGTACTTAACTCAAATTCATTGCTTAGATAAAGTACCTTATTCCCATTGCTATAGTAATTTGGCATTGGCCATATATTCACTTGCTGAACTTTTTTGCCAGCAGCAGACACTAAACTAACTTCAATCAACAATAACAACAAACAAATTGGCACCAATTTCTTCTTCATTTCCATAGAAATCAAAATCACCAAAAACCCAAATAAATTTATGTAATTCTGTGCTTCAACAGCTACTAAAATCCCATAAATACAATGAATTTAGCAAACTAAATGCATTCTTTCATGAATGAATCAATAAATACATGTAAAAAACACCAAAACCAGGATTTATTTCTTCAGAATTTGGAGCTGGAAATGGGGAATGAGCTGAAAAAAATGAGGATTTTTGGAATACAGTGAAAAGGGGTATTAAAATAGTAAATTTTAAGATAGAGAATTAATGGGTTTAGCAAATTGGGTGATTGTGAACAAGATTATTTCTGGGTTTAGTAGAAAACAGGTGTACTTTATTATTATACAATTGTGATGTTATTTTACATTTATGATTTTGTGATATTTTTCTATGTATTATTTCTGCACAAATGGTAATGGTATTGGTGGGTAGGTGTATCTCTTTTTTCGCCTGTCTAATTTGGAATCATCTTTTTGGAGAGCTTTTATTGTGAAATTAAAAGTCCGCCATTTTTCTACCTAATTTCTCTACTGTAGTTTTTACATTTACTTCTCACAATTTTAGAGGGTTTTTTTTTTCCGTAAAATTTTAGAGGGGTTTTAATGGTGGACTTTTTTTCAAATTTGAGTGAAAATGATGGTCTTATAACTGTTGTAATTGTTACATTTCGACTTCGTACATTGATGTGTTCATGATTCGGTCTTCTATCATAAAACTCACTTTTGTATCGTCATTGCGTTTTAATGTCATTCACTTCTTTGTCTTAATAATTACATTGATAGCAAGTGATATTAAAAGTTATGGGTATTTGGACACTACTCTCAAAGCATGGTTCGTGCAGGCGGATGTACGATTCACATGGTGCATCTCTTCCAAAAAAAAAGCGTAAAGAACATTTAGTTAAAGTGCAAAGAACATTCAGTTAAAGTGCAAAGAACATGTTATAAAATTGTAATGAACATAAAGTGCAGTTAAATAATATTCTTTATCTTCATGTTCTTTGATTATCAGAATAATGTACTTTTATTTGTGACATATGTTAATTGTTTATTTTGAAATATTCTTTGAATTTGTCTTTTAGATTATCGTGGTTGAATAAAAATAATGTTTATTACAATATATTATCATTAGAGGTGATAAAAAATTTGGGTCAGGCTGGGCCTTAACATAATATCTCGTGTCAAACCGGGAAAATGTAGTGGGCTTTTTGGGTTTTTTTCGGGCCGAGTTTGGATTTTTTTAACTAAAAATACATTTTTAGGCTTGTCTAAACCTGCCCTATTTTCGGGCTAGATTAGGTCGGGTCGGGTCGGGCCAAAGTCGATCACCTCTAATTATCATGTTTTTAATTAATATTACGGATGTTCTTTAGATATACATATAAAGAACATGAAGTTTGATGTTTTTTTTTCAAAATAGGTATATGTTCTTTATAAAACAACTATATGTTCATTACAGTACAACTATATGTTATGTTCATTATGAAATAACTATATGTTCTTTACAAAACAAATGTATGTACTTTACTGAACAACGGAATGTTCATTCCGCGTTTTTAAAGAGAAAACGGATGCACGGAGCATCGTGCATCTGCTTCCATAGAAAAAATTTCACACTAGTCTTAAGTCATGTGTATGAGAAGTGAATAAAGTAGATTTTTACGATTATGATGTGTAGTGTGTGTAAAATTTCAAAAAAAAAAAAAAAAAAAAAAAAACTTTATATAGCACATAAAAAAACACAAAAATGGTTTTTAACACTACAAAAAAAAAAAAAAATTTAACACCACAAAAAAAATCACAAAATTGGAAATTACTGCCAATTACCACATCTTTGGATGAAATTCATTAAGTAGGTCCCATAAAGTACACTTGTCACAATCATGTTGGCTAAAAAAAGAATTTTTTATTTTTTTTTAAAAAACCCTAAAACTAATGCAGCCACACTACCTCAACCAAGGCTACCACCCGACACCCCACCACCACCAGCACTCACAACCACATGCACCCTCTTCCCCACGCTATCTACGCAACCCCCGCCCCCAACCTTACCTCCGACATACCGGAAACCACTTCCCGCAGCCAGACCGACACCCATTGTATCCCCAAAACGACCAAACTACCCCAAAACGGCTATGAAATCGGCCACTAACGGCCGAAATCGGCCGATTTTAGGGCTGAGTGGTCGGTTTCGACCCTAAACTGGACGATTTTGGCCATTAATGGTTGATTTCGTGGCCTCTTTTAGGGAATAGGTCAGGGGTTGGTAATCGATAAAATTTCTCAGGTTAGGGTTGCGGGAAGTCGAAAACGGGTCGGGGGTAGGTTTCGGTGCTTGGCATAAAGAGGGGATTCGCCGGAGGTGGGCCGGGGGCTGGGGGCGCGCTGGTTGGGTGGGGGAAAGGCTGCCTGTGGTGGTGGTGGGGTAGTTGGGCTTTTGTTTTTCTTTTTTGTTTTAGCCAACTACATTAAGAGACGTGACATTGTGGCCCCACTTAACGGATTTCATCCTAAAATCCGTTAAAGTGGTGGTAAAAAAAATTTGGAGGTTTTTGGTGGTTTTTTTTGTTATTTTTTTTTTTTTTTTTTTTTTTTTTTTTGGTGTTAAAAACCATTTTTGTGTTTTTTGGTGGTGTCAAAAATCAAAATATTGAAATTCATGAGAGAGTACTTATGTAAAGACGTCAGGGTATTCTCTGTAGTTTAAATTTGAACATCAATTCTTGAAGAGTAATTTACACTATGAACATGCTTGGATTCCCTATAATAAGGTGGGTAAGTATTGCATGTAAAAAAAATCTAATATTTTTAGAATGTATGGATTGAAGATAAAACTATAAAGAGTAATACATTTCCCTTAAAATAGGAGTAATAGTAATCCTAATCCACCTAGAAATAAATTCCCTTTTAATTGATCCTCTAGTAAAATTACCCCCTTAATGTTTCAAGAGAATCCAAGTAAGCCCTAATAAAGATAAGGGTCATCTTATACGAAGTATAATAAAGATTAGGAGGGAAATTTGCAAATTGCAGTCATTTAAAGTTCGTATTTTGCAAATTGCAGCCATTTAAAAATAAAATTGCAAATTGCAGTCCAAAAGTTCGTATAAATTGTAAATTGCAGCCCGATTCAATTGGTTTACATGTCAAAAAATCTTCGATTAAGATTTTAGGGTCCATTTTAGGTCTTAGGGAACCGAATTAATCTCGGAATTAACAAAAAAAAAATAACGTAAGTGCCTCGTTTTGCGTAACAAAAATGTATCGATTTGTGGTAAACTGTAAAAATGAGACACTTACATTATTTTTTTGCTAATTCCGAGCTCAATTCGGTTCCTTAAGTACTAAAATGGACTCTAAAACCTTTATCGAAATTTTTTTGACATGTAAACCGATGAAAAAGTTGAATTAGACTGCAATTTTCAATTTATACGAACTTTTGGCTGCTATTGTTCTTTTTTTCAATGACTGCAATTTGCAAAGTACAAACTTTAAATAACTGCAATTTACAAATTTTTCAAAAAAAAAAAATAAAAATAATAAATCCTAGTGTAATCCGGGTAGATCTTTATAAACCGACCTATTTCCGGGTAGTATAAAAATAGTAGGAAAGCGAATAAAGTATGGTATAGACGGTTTCAAAAACACAAAAAAGATTAGGATAAAATTTAGTTGGAGAAAACAATTAGGGTTTGGTGAAAGTGTGGAAATTCTGGATCAATGGAGGTCGAGCGTAGAATATACGATAAAGATAGATTTGATGATTTCTTGAAGAAATACTTCGATGATTATGATGATTACTCGGAAACGGGAAGGAAGTTTAGTTATAGGAAGGAGTTGAAGATTTTGAAGAAATTGTTCCTGAAAATAAAAATTTGTACCAAGAATCGTGAATTGCATGCCATGAATTACATTGATATTATGAAAAAGTTGAAGAATGTTGTAATTGATGTTTCTGACGCCTGCTTTATTCAAGTTGATGCCCTTGAATTGCTTTCACAATCGAAACATCACTCCACTTACTCTTCGATTATCGATTTCTTAATCAATCACTATTCTCCAATTTAATGATTTATGATTAAATTATTGTTAATGATGAATGATTTAAGGTAATCGGTGAATTTTCAGGCATTTGATGAACCAGAGAACAAATTTGGCCTTCGCCGTGAAGGTGCTATGGGGTCTGTTGATCCGGCTAATGAAGCGGAATTAGCCCTTGAAGTGATTGATTATTATAACAAGCACAAGGTTTGGTTAATCTTTTTTTAAATCATATCATATTATATCGGCTAATCGGCCTCTTTTATATTATTATTGTTATTGATTCGATCAATTTATTATTTTGTAGGGAGCAAAACTCAAATTTGTGTGTATGAAAAGGGCCAATGTTCTATTTTGCTATCTTATTCATTACTACATTACATTTACTGCCGTTGATGAAGATACTGGCTGTATCGGTACATACCAAGCAGCACTGTTAAAGCGACATTTAGTCAGCATCATCGGGTTGTTTAGAGATGCTAATGCTCATAAAACCCTCTCTCTTCTTTCAATCAATGGTACAATATGGTTTTTATTCTTTTTTCGTATTAACTTTTGGTATAAAATATTCAGTTCAGCTCAATTCAGTTAAGCTAAGTTCAGTTAATGAGAATAGGCATCCTAAGGTTGGGAAGGGTAAATAACTCATAAGTAGTTGTAACACCGTCTTTTCACAAAACTCAATGTCATTATTTTTTTTCCCTAAGTTAAGTTAGTACACGCCCCTTAAAATAGGTGTAATAGTTATCCACTTATCCTAATCCAGCTAGGGTAACTTTTCCGTAATGAAAAATTATCCAACTACCTTCTCTTTCCTCAAATCATTCCATTTCACTCTTCCCTGCCTTGTTCTTCCTCCACCACTATCCCTAAAATAATGCCAATCTTGAGGAAATGAAATAATTATCCCTTTAATTGATCCTTGAGTAAAAATCACCTCATAAAATTACCCCCTTAATTGTTGAAGAGAATCCTAGCAAGCCCTGATAAGGATAAGGGTTATCATATACTCACATGTTATACGGACTAATGCTGTAATTAAAATGTTAATCTTAAATTTAAATTACGACTTTATTTAAAAGCCACTAATATAACATGTGCCAACATTTGTTCAACATTGCACCCATCTTTAGAAATTGAGTGAATTGTGTAGCGATCATATATGTCAATATATATGAGAATAACTAAATTGTTTTTATTTGGTTAACAAGATAATACAGATTATGGAGTAAGAGATAATAGGGCATTTTTGCAGTGCCCCTTTGGTGTAAACATCCAAGCTCATTATAAACTTCTCTCATTTCTTTAAATTAATTATTAATGGCTTTTTATATAATTTGATACACCCCGGGGATAACCACTCCGATGATAAAGTTATAATGTGTTTAAGAGAAAAGAGAGAAATATATATATATATATATAGAGAGAGAGTAATAAATACTACCTTTTTTTATGGATAATCTTACCTATTTATAATGAGTTCAATTGCCAGATGGCTGCATGTCATGCAAACCACTTTTATGCCAAGTGTCGATTAATCAACGCCACGTGCTCAGTTTTAGGAGGCGCCGATATGTATGCCGTTATATGACGGTGCCGATATTGGTATTTTCACTAAAAAAACCAAACCCGTTTAGTCTATACAAGTTTGGTTATCGGCACTGTAGCAATTATCGGTATCCTAATACAGAGTATCCATATATATTTTGTTTTGAACAAAATACATATACTAGCTATAAACATACTAACTAAACATCTATATAGTTATTAGCACGATAAAAAGAACAAGCCGACCCGATTTATTCGGCCCAAAACTGAAAAAGAACGGCATGGTACTGTGCGTGTGAGCTGCGGGTTGGCCTTGCACCGCTTTTATTTGGGAGAAGCACGATAAGGCACGGCATAACAAAGCATGCTAAAATCAATGCAATTTTGGTTAGACACACAAATCTACTCGACACGATGACACGTGGGCGTGGGCCGTGTAAGAGCCAATTTTTTGAAAATTTCGGCCCGATCTGACATGGCACGAAACTCATAAGCTGAGTAATAGTTCGGATCTAACTAACCCCAAAACACGTGAGCCTGACACAAGGCATGGCCAGAGGCATCTTTGCTTGTATGTTTTTGAATGTTCATTGGTAGTAAACGTGCTTAGTTAGATGAATATTGCAAAACTAACATGGCACTAGTGGGCCATTAGGGACAACAAGCTAAGCTAGTCCACATGGTCAACAAAATATCTAGTCGTACAATTAAATTATGCAATTCATATTTTCAAAGTGCGAAACTCAACTAGAAATCCCACATACATCCAACCAAAAATGAAGAGTTGAGATCAGCTTTGAATTATCCTTTCAATTACATGTCCAAATCATAAACAACACATTATTTATGAAAATTGACAAAAAACACAAGTCATATTCACAAAGCAACACCTTCAACAAAAACAAAATAAAATAAAATAAAATCACAAACCTAAATACTTTCTAAGTTTATTTTCAAATGACACGTATTAATTTTTAACACTATTATTACAATTCTTTTGATCATCTTTTGTAATTTATATCTATACAAATAATTACATAATTATGTAAAATTTGTTAAATTTGAATATCAAATTAAAGTATATATATTTTTAATATATCAATATATATATATTTTTTTAATAACATTATCACAAATTCACAAATTTTTTTTTTTTTTTGGTGCAAACAAATTCACAATTAATAATAATGATATCCCATTACAAAAATATGATATATTGATATTAATGCTTAAAAACATGAGTTCGTTGACAAATATACTTCATATATAGATACGGAGTACTTCGATATGTCAACTAAAAAAAGAAAATACTTGGATAAATCTTTCCAATGTGAATAAGTACCATATTAATATTGACTACAATATACTTGTGACCTATGTAACAACTCTTACAATTTGGTTTTCTTTATTTGTAGAAATCGGCTTGACTTTTAAACAAAAATCAACATCAATTAGCTATATATATGGCCCAAATAAGAAACATTATCCACCACCTGTTTATCAGTTTATGCATTTTATATCTCAATAATTCCACTATTGCCACATTCATGTAATGTGACAATATGAAAATAGACCAACTTCACTATAATAATATTTGGTGGATACTTCTGGTTTTGGTATATTTCATGATTAATAATCCATAATTTCCACCAATTTACGATATTGTTGTTTTATTTTTTTTTGTCATATAAGGAATATGATTGCATGCATATTTAATTTGTATCTTCGTTTTTTGATGAATCAAAGCACTATGATTTTGTTAATAAAATTTACAAAATAGATGTATGTTTTAATAATAAAAGGAAGAAATGTGAGGAACCATTTTTTTGATAGTGGCCAACAAGATGGACAAGATCTTATCCTAGTTATACTTTAATTTATACTTGTATTACTAATACTAGTGCATGGAGATTTAAACTTAGTAATAGGGGATTTTACTCATTTTCTTATTTATATCGAGTATATATCAATTTATGTTCAACTCAGATCAAGCTTATCAATTTAACATCTTTGGTATGGTTTTTCTTAACAAACAAATTTAAACATACACTAAGTACAATATTGTTCAATCCTTCAAAGATTTCTAATAATAAAACCTCCAAAGGCTTGTACAATTGCACCATCAAGCAACACTCTACAATTGTGTGATAGCATCAAGCCACCATGAGGTCCATTATACTATTGCACTTGTTCTCTTAGTATAGCTTTGATCTCAATCGTTGAGCCCAGGCCAAGGTCCAAGATGAGGTGGCAAGACTAGTCAGCGCGACACATACAACTCTATATTGCTCGACCAGCAATTACTTTCATAGATATTACATATTTATAAGATTTTACAATAGCTGAGTTGATAGCAATCATACATGTTAGTAGTAATGTCGATCTACTACGTATAAGAATTTCATTTAACAAAATACATCATGTTAGTTTTATTTAAGTTCACGTGCAATTTAACGGGGAGCGCAACAACCAAGGTGCATATTATCATATAGAAACAAGTGAAGCGTAGCAATTCGTACTACCGGAAAAGTTTAGCTAACCGGCAGGCAATAGAGTCCGCCGATAGGCGCAAGCAAAGCGTAGCGAATCACATAGATAAGCCGCTTACGCCTAAGAAATAGGCGTAAGGGCGGGCGAAGGGGATGGATGTCTGAGAGGTTGAAAGAGTCGGTCTTGAAAACCGAAGTATTGATAGGAATACCGGGGGTTCGAATCCCTCTCCGGATGCTTAAACATAGTATTTATATTATTTATTATCCATGCATGAATACGACACATGCCCTGCGAAATAGGATTCTTAACGGAAAACTAAATAAAATTCTTATCCATGAATTGAATAGGACATTGTTTGTAATAAAAAGAAAAGGAATAAAAGTCATTTTCATGTACAAAAATATCTATGAACTAATATTGCCTATTGTTTAGGGAATAGACTATAATTCTCAATAATAATACTAAATGATTTTAATACATTGTATTTAACAAAAAATTACAAATGCACTTATAGTATCTGATCCAAAAATAAGGAAAAATTAAAGAAAATTACAATATGTAATTGATTTAAACAGTTATAAATCTTAAAAGATGATTAGATACAAAGTATAATTCAAGAATAATCACGCATTAGTTAATTTTAATCAAGAATGACTTTTTACTAGGATCATTGCTTAACATATATAGGATAATACTACAAGCTTGTGCGGTTGTGCCATAAAAATTTGGAATAGAAGTTGCCACATGACTCTCTTACATGACTACATGCATGATGCATGAATCTCCTATAAACAAAAGCACCAATGGAGGCACTTTCTCCATTGTGCTATTTGTGCCCTATCACAAATTCATAATACCATGTACTATATACATACAATAATATGCATTATGTACATACAATAAAATAATTTATATCTTCCTTAAAAAATTAAAAAAATTATATATTGTGCTGCCTTTTGCTTGGCATACGATTCAAACCTAACCTACGACTTTAGCCTGATCCAATTCATTACGCATTGTAATGTTCAAAAGACCAGCTTAGACAACGTGTTATGCTATTGCGCCATGTTTTAATTTTTTTATATCAGGACGTACCCTCTGGTCCATCCCACCTAGTGACCCAACATAACCCGATGCCATACACCACCTTAAATACTCCTCCCAAGTTAGGCACTAACCTCTTTACCATTCTACTATTTCAATTCACCACGTCTTCCACTCTTCTCTCATCTTAATACATCACAGTTGTCCTCTAACAGCCAGCCAAACTACCCTTTCTTCTCACTCCAAATTTTCTCTCCTTCTTTTCTCTCCTTCCCCAATTCCAATTTTCTCTCTCCTACATTCCCACCATTTTTCCTCCATTAATCCGCCATTTTCAGCCATGGATGACCACCTCGAAGAAGATGATAGTACCACCGACTTGCTCCCTTCAACTTCTTCATTCCCTCGAACTCCCAAAATCTTCGATCGATTCGGTTCTTCTTCTTCCTCCGACGAAGA